TTTTAAATAAGAGTGCTTCTTTACTGGAAATATCTCCTCTAAAAAATGTAAGTAAACGTGACAAATTAGAATATAGAAAGTAAAAAGTTAAAAAACTGGAAACAAGTATGACAAACCTAGTAGCATCAGCATTGGATATAGACCCAAAAGAAATAATATTTGAGAAAAAGCAAAAGTGCATTAACTGTAATGATTTATACAAACTTATAGATGCAATAAAGAAAAAAGTAAAAATCAGTTTGAATGAAGAAAAAGTTCAGTCACTAACATTAACTCCTGATAGTTGTTCAATTAAAAAAACTTGCAATTCGTTTTCAGTTTCAGACCATCTTGTTAAGAAAGCCAGAAAGCTGAAAAATGAAAAGGGAATACTTGCTAAACCTGAGGCTAAAAAAGGACATCCTTTGGAGGATATTGTTAAGCAGAGAGTCATTGAAATATATGAATCTGACGAATACACTAGACAATGTCCAGGAAAAAAAGACTTTGTTTCTGTGCGTATATACAATGTTAAAGTTCATAAACAAAAACACTTAATATTTGTTCGTTTAAAAGAAGTTCATTTGGAATTTAAAAAGTTATACCCTGAACACAAAGTTGGATTCAGCAAGTTCTGTGAACTAAGGCCAAAGTGGTGCCTTACTGTTGATAGTAGTGGAAGCCACTCAGTTTGTGATGTTCTTACCATCAAAATGCTAAGTTGATGTGCTCTGCTCTTCCTAACAGCCATTTAATATATCACAAAGATTTAATGAAAGTATGTGTTTGCAATATAGATAGTCAAAACTGCATGTTTCATCTATGTTTCAACTGCCCTGGTAAAATAAATTTGAATACTTACTTGGAAAATGTGTTTGAAAAGAATGATTTTGATGATCAGATCACATATAAACAATGGGTGTCAACCTGACCGAACTGCACTTATTGCAGTCCAAACAAGCATTAGAGAATTTATTGAAACTATAAGTAAAACTTTGTATGACCTTTGTTACGACCACTTTATCAAAGAAGTACAGTCTTCCTACTTATCAGAGGCAAAACAAACATTAGACCAATATACCTGCATTATTCTGATAGATTTCGCAAAGAATTATAGTTTTCTTGTACAAGATGCTATACAAGGGTTTTACTGGTAAGCTGATCAAGCAACCTTACACCCATTTGCTGTTTATTACAAAGATGAAAAAGATCACCTTAAATGTGAATGCTATTGTTTAATTTCTGACCGTCTTTGTCATGACCAATCAGCAGTCCATTGTTTTCTCACAAAGTTGCTCCCTATGGTCAAAATCAAACTACCTACAGTGAATAAAGTTAAATACTTCAGTGATGGTGCTGCATCGTAGTATAAATCTACAAATGTCTAATAAACTTAATTTATCATTATAGATCACCAAATAAATGTTGATCATCAGTTCTTTGCTATGCCACATGACAAAAGTCCATGTGATGGAATAGGAGGTACTATAAAAAGAGAAGCAGCAAAGCGAGTCTTCGAGCAGCAATTACAAATCAGATTCTCACACCACAAGATCTGTTTACATGGGCTCAAAAAAACATCAAAGGTGTTAACATAGTTTATCTTTTAAATGATGATATCAATAACCATGAAACAACTTTTAACCTTCAGAAACGATATGAAGGGATGCGCACAGTTCCGGGAACAAAAAGCTATCACTGTTTTGTACCAGATGGAAAGAAATTGTTTTTATGAAGAATCTCTAGTGATATGTCTATGATGCTCATGTGTTAAATGATGTTAATTTGATTAAAAAAATTCCTTCAAATTTTCAACCTGGTAAATATATTGTATGCTTTTACGACTAAGAATGGTACATAGGGCTTGTGGTTGATATTTTTAATAAAAACCGAGACATTAATGTGAAGTTTATGCAAAGAAGCAAATTAATTTTAAAATGGACAAACGATGCACGATTAAGTCAGTGTTGGGTTCCATTTGAAAAGAGAATATGTCAAATAAGTGTTCCATTGATTAAAAGTATAATTGCTCGTGACTATATTCTTGCAAGTGATGGCTATGATAGCATTATGAGTTATCGGAGATAAGCTAATTAGTTTCATGTATACATACATTTTCTTTCAACTGATTATCTTATTCTTTGAATGCACTTTTTTACTGTATAGTTTGTATAAAATTTGAGGTAAAAATTTTGTATGTGGTAAGTGGTATTTTTTTGTTCTCTTTTTAAAAATATCATCACTCTCATGTCATAAGATAGAGTATAGAACTTTAAGATAGAGTATAGAATTTTTTTTGGTGATTGTCTATATATAAAATCTCAACATTAAAAAGTTTCATGATTTATTTCAACTGTTTACGCTACTTTCTATGCCAGCAAAGTCGATGTAATTTATCATAATTTTTAAAAAAAGTGATTTTTTAATAGGCTGCTACATGTGCTAAATTAATTTTTAATGCATAATTTTGTTTATTCTAACAAGTGGTGACCCTAAGTACACAAAAGTAACAAAAAAAATCCAATTTCTGTAAGTATTAAACGTTAAAGTTCAAAAAAATATTTATAATTTGCAATATTTAGCTACTTTAAGGTACAATAACTTAAAAACTGTAAAAAATAAGTAAAAAACAACTGCAATAATGGATTATTTGGGTGAAAAACTATTACCTTACAAAATTTCAGGTGATCACCATCTTTATTTAAAAAGTTATGGTTTGTCAAAAATCGAAAAAAACTGCTGTAAGCTCCTGATACACAAATTTTTCAATCATAACTTTTGAACATGTTGCTCAATCAAGCTGAAATTTTCTGGATTGTATTTTTTTCATATCTGTGTGTGGTCAAAGTTTAAAGCAAATCTGAGATAGTACCCTGGAGATCTTTTAAAAAACTAGGTGATTTGATATGGAATAACCCTGTTCTTTATAGATTCCTCTTCATTGAAAGCAATAAGTTCATCATGTTTAAGTTCACGATAAACAGCTTTAGCCGGATAACAGTTTGGAAAAGAGCTAGTATCTGTTTTATTTTCTAAATTAGCATTAAAAGAACTCATCACTGTAGCAACATCAAAAAAAACTTTATTTGATTGGTTATTTTATTTTTTAGATTTAAATAAATACAACTACCATAATGCATTGCACATTTGACGACTTGTGGAAAATGTCTGTTGCTTCATTTTTTACATATATTAAAGGTAAAATTCCGGCACCTTTTTTTCTAGAAAAAAAGCACTGACTATTATTAACAATAAAACTGGTACATACGTTTACCGTAAAGATGTCATAGCTACTGTGCAAATCAAACCTAACTCATGCCATGATCCAAAAATTATAAACAGAGTTTTTAAAGGTTTTGTTCATAGGGCAATATATTTAGGCTATGATAATATTGAACAAGAGTTATTATTTCTAATTGATGTATTTGTAGAAAATGGTTATAAAAAAAACAAGCCTAGAAAATATTATAAAAACCACTAAAGAAAATTTACATATTAAAAAACAAAATATTAAAACTCAAGATTCATCAATTTCATCAAAAAATATCTTTACCTTGGATTCCATCTTTACCTTCAGACGGCGTTCTAAATCAGTATGGCGGAGGTTATGTCACAACTTCAATTTGGAAACCTATGTTTTGATATTTGTATCAAAAGAAACTATTGCATTGATTTGCTTTTATTTTTTAAGGGTTTATATATATATATATATATATATATATATATATATATATATATATATATATATATATATATATATATATATATATTTATATATATATATATATATATATATATATTATATATATATATATATATATATATATATATATATATATATATATATATATATATATATATATATATATATATATATATATATATATATATATATATATATATATATACTTGACAATGAGGGTATCTATACTCCCTTGAAATATTGTATAAAAATTAACTCAAAAAATAAAGAGTTACATCCATAGTAGAAGTTTTTCTTTAATCAAAACAACTTTTAGTTTATTTTTAGTTCCTTTTATTTTAATTTCTTCAAGTTTATATGTTATTTTTATTAGTAAATAAATTTAACAAACTAAAATTAAGAAAAATTCATTATTTTATATCAATAGATAATAGTTTACAATTATTAGGTTATTGCATATTAATTATCATTAATTTGGGCGCACTTATGCAAAATGCGTAAAAAATGGTATTGAAAAATAAAAGTTATTTAAATGTAATAAACATCTTTGATATTTATATATATATAATCACTAGAATAATAATTATTTGAAAAAAAAAACTCCCTTATTTGACATATATCTCTTAAATTAGACTTTTGTTAATAAACGTCAACATTCATTAAAGATTTAAGATTTTAAATTTTTTAGATTTATAGTTTATACACTAGTATAAATTAATCATTTATTAGTTTAAGTTTAAAAGTAACAATTAACAAAATAAAGACAGAAGAAAACTACAAATTAGTGAAGTCTTTAGTTTAGAGTTTATAAACCATAAATTTATTGTCTTTAATTTAGAGTTTATAAAACATAAATTTTTAAAGTCTTTAGAGTTTTTAAAACATAAATTTATTATGTCTTTAATTTAGAGTTAATAAAACACAAATTTATAAAGTCTTTAGTTAAGAGCTTATAAAATTCAACATCAATAGTTCAAATAGTTTTTTTCAGATTTAAAGTATCCAAAAAGTTCTTTACCAAAATTAATCCCCCCCCCTTCCCTTTTTTTGGGAAGGGATTAAAAAATACAAAATCTGCAATCTGTTAATTTACAATCTGTGGTATTTCTGTGGTAAATGGTAGATCTGTGGTAATCTGTAGTAGATTGTAGAATCTGTGGTAGATTGAAGAATATGTGGTAGATTGAAGGATATGTGGTAGATTAAAGAATATGTAGTAGATTGCAGATTTACCTCTATCTACAATATTTTCAATAATTTAATAAGATTTTGGTCATAATTTTTATTATTGCTATTTACTCTTTTTTATTTTTTTTAGGGAATTGATGAAAAAAATAAAGTTGATTTGAAGTGTACAAACATTGACTGTAAACAGGTTTTTGCCTATTATTACTGCTTAATTGTATAAATTAGAATCTTGTATTTATAGCATAATGCATTAAATATATCTTATATCATATCATGATATATAAGATATAAAACCTTACTCAACACTATAACTTAAAAACACAAACATGTCAAACAAGTCCGCTGTGCTGAGAAATAAATTAGGTACAGTACTACCAGGGACATGATGCAGATTGAAATTGGAAGTTCTAGCTTATAAGGTGAGGACTCTACCATTACACCACTACCCTATTACTGCGAGCACTCTACCACTACACCATTACGACATTTATAATTTGTTATTGAATATATTTTTGAATAAATTAATAAAAAACCTGTAAATTCTTGAAATAAAATTAATTTTGTTTTTGAGTTGTTTTAAACTTAACTAAGTAATCTTGTAAATTTAAATTTTTTTATTCATGAAAAATCAAATTAAAATATAAGCTTTGTCAAAAGTGCTAAAGTTGCCTCCACTGTTCTAAACTTGCCTCTACTGTTCTAAACTTGTCTTTACTGTTCTAAACTTGCCTCTACTGTTTCGTATATTTTGAATGTTTTTAAGATTTCTTGTTTTAAATTATTCTATGAGAAGCTAATGCAAATTAATACTTTTTTTTTATTTGCATAATTTTAAAAAAGTTTGATTTTTTTTTAATCCAAGAAAAAAAATTAATCTAACTTTTATTTTTTTTTAAGGAAAAAAAATAAAAGTTATATTTCATAATTATTTTTTTAGTATTAAAGAAATTTTAAAGAACTTTCAACAGTAATTTAATCTGAAAGAGTTTGAGAATGCGTGTTGAAACGGAAAGAAATGCTTGAAAGAAAAATGTTTTAAGAAAAAAAAGACAACACTTGTCAATTATATAAAAACTTTACTAATAATGAATATCCAGATTTAAATGTTTACCAGTTATTAGGTTACCTCTTACATAGAATTTATGTACATAATAAAAAAAATATTGCCCTTTTTATCAACTATTTGAAAAAAATTTTAACATAGATATAACTCAATATATATAATTACTCAATAATAATTCTCTAAAAACTAATGATTTACTTGAACAAAGACAAAACACACCCTACAATTATTCATGTTTTGGTTGAAAAATGTTCTGTTCATTACAATTATTTCTATTTTAAATATTAATTCATTTAATTCATTTTTATTCCAATAAATGTTGATAAGTATCAAATTTGTTTTAAGGATGTCTGTGATGAAGCCATTTTAATATTATTTAAATTTTATCTAATATGTTATTGAGTATTAAATTTTGAATCAGTAAACATCAGGAACCAGACCCCTAATTAAGTAAACTTTTAAACCCTTATTTCTTTAAATGAATCTAACAAATTACTTTTTTTGCTATAATCTAAAATCAGGAAAAAAGTTTTTTCAAAAAGATAGACTAAAAAGTTTTGTTACTGCTAAGAAAAACTGTGTTCAAAAAAAGTTGTTAATATTGAATCTTAATAAATATTATGTTGCATTTAGAAACAACTATTTCCTTATATCATGGTCAGTTTGTTTAGAGCATTAATTAATATAATGAGTTAAAAGAAGATTTACCACACACCCTGCCTTAGGACTTGAGGTCGAGTAAAGGCTAGAGATGGTGTCTTGATAAAAATACTCATCTTGGGCTGATGTTAAATGCATCTGGCTACTGTCTTATAGAAGGCCTCCTAAGCAAAGGCTTAAGGGGTAAACAGATTCTATCTGTTGACAAGCCCCGCACCCCTTCTTTATCTATTAGGTTGACGCAGATGTATTTTTAATACATTGTTTCTAGTTTAGGATGTTGAACAGTGGATCTTCTTGACTCAATGTATAAGTTTTGCTTGTGTTTATTTTTATGACTAGACAACTCATTCTATTATCTGCTAATGAGGGTGCAGCTCTAATACTCAGTTTTATGGTTCTGAGGCCGGGTGATAGTCAGGTTTCCCAAACTCTGTGGTAGCTCTCAGAGAGGCTGATTTCATCAACAGCTGAAAAAGAGTACTAACAGTGTCATGTTGCGTATGAATGGTGTCCCTGTTCATACTTTTGGTGTGCATTGTTGAGGCCACATTTGGAGCCCTTTGTTATGGCTTAGAGTTTATTAATAGTAATGAGGCAATTGCTTGGACTATTAAATAGTGTACTGAGTACTATCTATGAGTCAAGTTCTTTAAAAATTTTAAAATGAAAAAGTACCAAAAACTATAAAACACAAAAAACCATTGTCATCACCAAGTTCTCTAAACCTATCATTCACTAATATTTGTGTTCTTTGAAGTAACTTTTCTTCTGTTGAGTCTTATCTCTTTCAAAGTTCACCAGACCTACTTGCTCTTTGTAAGACTAATTTGAGTTCAGCTGTCTCATCTTGTGATCTTAGTGTTGATGGTTATCTTCCTTTAATTCGTATAAACTCCAATAGTCACATGCTTGGCCTGGGCATTTATATTTGTTAGAATTAACCCATTTGTCTGGAAACTAGGTTTGAATCCACAGGCTTTTGTTAAGCTCCACTTACTTTATCGCCTTTCTCTTTGTTCTATATCTGTCTTCTTCATTTCATAACTGCACTTTTTCGATGTTATTTCTGATCATATTTTCCAAGCCCTCTCTCTTTATCCATCAGCCAATATGGTTGTTGTTAATGACTTTAATGTTCATCACACTGAATGGCTTGGCTCTAGTGTCAGTGACTCTGCAGGCGTTAAAGCCCACAACTTTTGTCTTTCTCAATCCCTAAATCAAATAGTCAACTTTCCAATTCGTTTTCCAGACAACCCGAACCATATACCTTCTCTACTCGACTTATGTCTTGTTTTTGGTTCTAGTCAGTGCTCAGTTTCTCCACATTCACATTTAGGTACTTCTGATCGTGGTTTGATCTCTCTAAAACTAATCTCATACTTCTTCATCATCTGAATCGCCCTATCATTGCATCTCTTATAACTACCTTAAAGCTGACTGGGACTCTTTCTGTGGCTCTTGGTTAGAAATCTTTTGTCTTCCTGCTGACAAATGTGCTTCTTGCATAACTTTGTGGATTCAGGCTGGCATGGAATCTTTTTTTCCCTCTCGACGATTCCAAATCAAGCCTCTCTCTTCTCCTTGGTTTTCCTCACATTGTGATGCTGCAATTTTCAATCAAAACCGTTACTTCCATATCTATCAACAAAACAATTCTTCAGAAAACAGACGTCTGTTTATTACTGCTAGAAATCATTGTAAAAAGGTTTTGTCTGACACCAAAGCCAAACGCTAAACTCAGGTCATGAAATCTCTTATTTCATCTCAAAAATTAGGCTCTCATTACTTCTTGAGATTCTTTAATAGTATCAATAATAAAGCCAATTCTGTTATTCCACCTCTACTGTATGGTTCAGGTTTTGTCACCTCACCTAAAGACAAAGCTGAATTGTTTGCTAAGAACTTCTCAACAATATTATCTCTTGATTCCACTGGTTGTATTCTACCTGATAAAGCTGACAAACAAGTTGATCCATTGCTTGACATTCGTATCACTCCAGCTTCTGTATCTAAAGTGATTTTCTGCTTAGACTCTTCTACAGCTTGTGGTCAGGATAACATACTTGTTGTAGCCTTACAGAAGTGTTCTCCGGAGTTTGTCATCTATTTTTTCAAAACTATTTAGCAAATGCTTATCGGAGTGTTGTTTTCCAACATGCTGGAAAGCGGCATCTGTTATCCCGATTTTCAAAAATTCTGAAGAGCGACTTGTCTAACTACTGTCCCATTAGTCTTCCTTTTATCATAAGCAAGGTTTTTGAATCTTTAATTAATAAACACTTAATCTCTCACTTTGAATTTAATAACTTACTGACCATCAATATAAATTCCAATCTTCTCGTTCTACAGCTGATTTGCTAACAGTAAGTATAGGTTTTATTGTGCATTAGATAGAAGTGGAGAGGTTAAGAATATCGCTCTTGACATTTCTAAAGCTTTTGATAAAGTTTGGCATTTTGGTCTTTTCCATAAGCTTTCTTCTTACAGTGTATCTGGTAACATCTTTAAGATTATTGAATCCTTCCTTTCCCATCATGATATAAAAGTTGTCGTCAATGGACAGCACTCTTTTTCATACCCTGTAACTTCAGGGGTTCCTCAAGGTTCTATCCTTAACCCTATACTCTTTTTAATTTACATTAACAATCTTCCAGATATTCTCACATCTAAGGTGGCATTGTTCACTGATGATACAAACATTTATTCTTGTCATGATAAGAAGCCAATGTTAACACTCTCTGATTGCTTAGCAGGGGCATTTGAGCTTGAAAAGGATCTCACTTCTGCTACAGCATGCTATATACATCACAGTGGCTGGTAAACTTTAATTCAGATAAAACTCAATTTTTTTCAGCAAATTATTACCACAATAATTTAAATCTTCCTATATTTATGAATGGTGATGTATTTGATGAGTCATCTACCCTTCATCTTTTTTAATTAACTGCTACTTCTGATCTTTCTTGGAAACCATATATCGAGTCTATTGCAAAATTAGCATCTGCAAAAGTTGCATCTCTTTATCGTGCTTAACACTTTCTTTCTCCAGATTCTATTCTTCATCTCTATAAGTCTCAAATCTGTCCTTGTGTGGAATACTGTTGCTATATCTAGGGTGAATTTTCTAATGATGCCCTTTCTCTTTTAGACAAAGTGCAAAAACACATTGTAAACCTAGTTGGACCTGCTCTTGCAGCTAACCTCAAACCATTATCACATCATGGTAACTACCTATTTCTTTCTGAAATAGGTAGTTACCATCATCATGTATATATATATATATATATATATATATATATATATATATATATATATATATATATATATATATATATTCATTTTCATAACAGAATTTAAATAATGTTTATAATAATAACAAAATTTAATGTTACAAATAACAAAAATTAACTTTAAAGTAGTTAATTCTTTTTTTGTTTGATTATTTTAAATTACTTTTTTATTATAGGTTTTTCTTTTGTTATTTTTTAACTTATTGTTAATAATTATGATATATCATGATTTTGTATAATCATGATATATCATTTATATAATCATAATATATCAATCATAGCCATATAATATATCATGATTTTATACAATTAAATATTTTTGTTATTATTTGCTTTAAAAATAATTGCAATACTTAGTTATAAATAAATATCTTGGTGTTCATTTAAAATTTACTTTTATCATAATTATAAAATATTGGATGTTAAAACTATTGTTGGTACTAATGAGATTTTAAAACATGTGACAAATAAAATAGCCATTTAAGTTTCATTTATGGGTACAAAATGCAATAAATAAATGGTGAAATAAACGGAAACTTTTAAAATGTTGAAGCCAAATAAATTTGTGAAGACAAGATGTAAATTGATTTCTTTAGAAATATGTTTTCTCCATAACAGATTTTTTATGTGTATGTCTGTTTTTTATAAATTTTAAAATTTATAATCTTTTATATAAATTTATAATCTTTAATAAATTTATAATCTTATATATATTTTTTATGTGTATGTCTGCCTGAACATTTAATGTGTATGTCTGCCTGAACATTTAATGTGTATGTCTGCCTGAACATTTTATGTGTATGTCTGCCTGATTTTTTTTTTTTTACTTTTATTCTTTCAATAAATGTTTTGATATATTTTAATGTTCTTTTTTTTCAAGAGTAATTAATTTTTTAGTAAGAAAAAAATAAAATGTCCCATAAACTCTCTGAAATGCTTAAACAAAGCAATTTCTCTTTATACACCCAGGTAGTTAGATTCTTTAATGATATTGTTCTGTAAATTAAATTACAAACTGTATATAAAATGTTTTTGTGGATTTTATAAGCCTGGTAATATGCAGTAGAATTTCCAGTTTGTATAATTAGATTGGAATTCGGAAACGGATATCCTATTAATGAATATCCACATTAACAGATATTCAAAGAATCACAAAATTTTAACCGTCCAATTAATAGTTTATTAGAAGCATGGAATACTTTAGAACAATTGTTGTTAAAAAAGCTTGTTCATAGTATGCCTCAGATAATCAAAGAATTATAGCACCTTTTACAGTCTTTGCTGAAAAAGTTGCTATGACTAAGTACTAATTTAGGAAGTTTTGTTTCTAAGATAATAACAATATAATAATTCTGCCAACTATAATTATTAATAAAATATATAAAATAATAATTATTTTGTATTATATGTCTGGTAATACTTTTGTATTTTTTAGAGCAACATTGCATTATAAATCTGTTTTTCAATGGTTTAACATTTCCTCAAAAAAGCAATTGAGACGTCATAACATTTATTTTTCACCACTTCTGAACAAAACGACTTTGTTGTTTTGTTCAGAAGTGGTGAAAAACTTAATGTAGCAATTGACATGGTAGAAAGAAAAAAAATCATTTGGTGTGTGTTTTTAGCACATATTGATGTTATTATATGCTAAGTTTCATAGTTTTAACTTAAAGTTTAACAAGCATTTTCATGATTTTTTTTGTTGTGACAGTCGTAACCGTGACGGTCATAACGAAAACTCTAATATTAAAAAACAACAAATAAAACAACCTAAACAAGATGTAACAAAAAATGTATAAATGATTATTTAAAACCATGTAAATTATGTTTAAAAAAATGCACTATAGCATTATCAAAGTTCTCAATTATTGTTTTACGATACGTTTTTTAACACTACAGAACAGGACTGTAAATAAACCTCAAAACATGTTTATATAACTTTACAACTTTAAAACCATGTTATGGTATGATAAAATGATTTTATTTAATAACTTTTTTGCTTAAAAGTATTTTTAAATAGTTAAAAAAAAGAGTTTTTTTTTAAATGTCTATTTTTTTTAAATGTATATATATATATATATATATATATATATATATATATATATATATATATATATATATATATATATATATATATATATATATATATATATAAATATGTACACACAAATATACATCTAATTTTTTTTTTCAGTGTATGACAGTCTGCAACCAACCTTTGCCATTCAATGTATTAGTTTGCCAGTCAGCGTGCAATGTAAATATTTTAGTTTTAATTTTTAAAATTTAAATTGTCTAGCTGATAAAGATTCAAATTTTTTGCTTTTTTGTTTAATAAACTTCCAGCAAACTAGGTTTATTAGGAGTACAACAATGCATTGGCATTGGCTTGCCAATGTGTTGACCATTTCTCCAATGCATTAGCACTGGCCTTAGTAACCATTAGTCAATCACGGTTGTTTTTAGAATGTCTTTATTTTTATGTTTCTCTTAGTGGCAGCAAGCCAAGTGGTACTAGAGCACAGTCATTCGAAATGATAAACATTAAATTTGTCAAAAAAAAAAAAAAAATTGCATTAAAGAATAGAGGTTTAAAAAAAATGGTTCAAACAACTTAGATATTAAATTTAAGTAACTTAGAAATAAGATTTAGAAGAGTTCAGTTTTGGGGTAGGAGAAGTATTATTAAGTACAAAGAAAAACAAAAGAAGAAGTATTATTAAGAAAAAAAAACAAAAGCGCATCAAAGAATAGTTTAGAGCTTACTAAGAGCTAGTGAATTTTTAAGGACATAAAATTTGACAGATTAAATATAATATAAAGTTCTTATTTCAATTTCCACAAAAGTGGAAATTATAATATGGACAATTACAATTCAGTGGTGAAAACTTTTTACATTTGTTGCTACTATTGTTCTGATTCAAATTATTTGAACTTTGAACCAAAAAATTGATAGTACCCTAAGTAATAAGCTAAAAAGTTGATCATTCCTGAACATAGCATCTAGCAAAATAAAAAAAACAAAATAAAATTTATAGTTTCATTGTAAAGTAAAATCTTTTATAGTTTTAAAAAAGTTTTATGATTTTTATCATTACCAAATCTCTAGAACGGTGACGATTACACAGTTTACCAAATCTCTAGAACGGTGACGATTACACAGTTTACCAAATCTCTAGAACATTTGGTGACGATTACACAGTTTACCAAATCTCTAGAACATTTGGTGACAATTACACAGTTTACCAAATCTCTAGAACATTTGGTGACGATTACACAGTTTACCAAATCTCTAGAACATTTGGTGACGATTACACAGTTTACCAAATCTCTAGAACATTTGGTGACGATTACACAGTTTACCAAATCTCTAGAACATTTGGTGACGATTACACAGTTTACCAAATCTCTAGAACATTTGGTGACGATTACACAGTTTACCAAATCTCTAGAACATTTGGTGACGATTACACAGTTTACCAAATCTCTAGAACATTTGGTGACGATTACACAGTTTACCAAATCTCTAGAACATTTGGTGACGATTACACAGTTTACCAAATCTCTAGAACGGTGACGATTACACAGTTTACCAAATCTCTAGAACGGTGACGATTACACAGTTTACCAAATCTCTAGAACGGTGACGATTACACAGTTTACCAAATCTCTAGAACATTTGGTGACGATTACACAGTTTACCAAATCTCTAGAACGGTGACGATTACACAGTTTACCAAATCTCTAGAACATTTGGTGACGATTACACAGTTTACCAAATCTCTAGAACATTTGGTGACGATTACACAGTTTACAATTTAACACAGTTTACAATTTAAGTTTTAATTACTATTGTTAATAAAAATTATGTATTTGCATATAATTATTATATTACAAAAATATTCATGTATATTACATATATAAACACAATATAAATTATTGCCTCAATTTGCAAGAAGAAAGTTAATTTATTGGTGTGAAAAAAATGTGATTGATTTATTATTGTGAAAGAAAACTAGAAGCTAATTAGGCATGGAATCAAGTATGAAATTACTTGAATATTAAATTAAATATGGATAAATTAAATTATTTAAAAATGTATGATGGAAAATCAGATGCTGCTGTGTGGATACCAAGAACAAAAGTAATTGCTGAAATGCAGAACAAAAGGCTAGAATTATTTTGTCATTTCAGGTTTTTAACCGCTTTATATTCTTCATTTTACATTCTTCATTCTACTTTCTACATTATGATCTTTGTTTTACATCTACAATCTTTGTTCTATTTCTGCAATATTTGCTCAATGTTCTACAATAATTGTTCTATGTTCTATTTTTGCAGTATTTACTTAATGTTTTATGATCATTGTTTTATGTTCTATTTTCTACAATCTTTGTTTTATGAACTTTGGTTGTTCTTATCTTTAGACCAGTTAGTTTACCTCAGTTAGCTTGTAGTTTTTTTGCATAAACAAAACAATAAAGTTGTTTTTATTTTCTTAACTCAATGAGAACCTTACATAATGAGCTTATCTAAGGAGCTTACATAATGAGCATACATAATGAGCATATGTAATGAGCTTATGTAATGAGCTTGTGTAATGAGCTTGTGTAATGAGCTTACATAATGAGCTTACGTAATGAGCTTATGTAATGAGCTTATGTAATGAGCTTACATAATGAGCTTATATAATAAGTCTCTTACAAATTCTAATGATAATTTATATTAATTTACAAATCTCAAAAAATATTATGTACTTTAATTACAATCATAAAGTAAATATTTTTTAGTTTTAAAAGAAAAATAAATTATGATTTGATCAAAAATTGAAAACCACAAAAGAAAAAGTTTTAAATTAAATTTGTTATATCAATCATTTAAAGTTTTTCATAATACAATGATAATATTGGTAATAATCAAAGTTAATAACTTTAACATTTAAACTTCTGTTTTATAATTTCAAATGACTGATAAACTTCTTGTGATAAGAAAATTGAAGGGTAAGTCTTTAAATTACATATGTTTATCCAGTTGTAAATTTGTATTTATTATTATGTTCTTGGAAACAAAAATTTAAAATTGTTCAAACTGTAACGCAATGTTTGATTAAAAAAATTAGATTTCAAATTATTGTGTTATAATTATTTGTAATATTACAAAAAATATAACACATTACAAAAATTGTTTTATTTTGTGATGTTTTAGACTTCACGAGCGTGTATTTTGGGCTGTCAGTTTTACTCAAAATTGCTTGCTAGTAAGTTTTTTAAAAAATAGTTTAACAAAATTTTGAAAATAATTTTAGGGTTCAAATTAATGTAACAAGACAATAGTTCTTCGTCTATATTAGATTGAAATTCAGAAGTCATTCTTACTAATTTTTTTTAATTTCAGAAAACTTATTTAAAAAACTTTTACAAAGGTTAGTGGTAAACAGTATAGAAGTTACTCTTATGAAGGTTTATGGTAAGCATTAGATCATGATCTACTTTTATGAAGGTTTTGGTAAACATTAGCTCATGAGCTACTTTTATGAAGGTTTATGGTAAACATTAGCTCATGAACTACTTTTATGAAGGTTTATGGTAAACATTAGCTCATGAGCTACTTTTATGAAGGTTTATGGTTAGCATCAGCTCATGAGCTACTTTTATGAAGGTTTATGGTTAGCATCAGCTCATGAGCTACTTTTATGAAGGTTTATGGTAAACATTAGCTCATGAGCTACTTTTATGAAGGTTTATGGTAAACATTAGCTCATGAGCTACTTTTATGAAGGTTTATGGTTAGCATCAGCTCATGAGCTACTTTTATGAAGGTTTATGGTTAGCATCAGCTCATGAGCTACTTTTATGAAGGTTTATGGTAAACATTAGCTCATGAACTACTTTTATGAAGGTTTATGGTTAGCATCAGCTCATGAGCTATTTTTATGAAGGTATTTTATGGTAAAACTTATCTTATGACTTTACTAAACTTTTTAGGCCAGGCTCATTAAATTTAGCTTTAATTAATACTTAACAATTAAAGAGTTTAGTACATTTCAATCATAATACTCAGAGCTGTACTTTGGATTTTTAGATGTTTGAGTTTGACACTTACAGGCATTGTGCAAACTCCAAACTTTTGTATTTTTATGTTTATGTCAAATAAGAATGTTTTTCAATTTTAAGTTTTAACCCCCCTCGTTAAGGTCTGGGTGGGCTCAAAAATTAGGGTTTTTTTTGTTCCCAAGCTTCAATCACCTCAGTTCTTTGCAAAACATTCTTATTCGACATAAGCATGAACATACAAAGGTTTGGAGTTTCCACAATGCCTGTAAGTGTCAAAGTTCAAACATCTAAAAATCCAGTGATCACCTCTAAATACATACTATTTAATATATTTTGCTGTAGATAATAATACTTATAATAATAGTAATTATATATTTATATGTTAGTGCTAATGTAATAAATATTGTATAATAAACCTTACTTTTTTAGATAAAGAAAATGGTTCTAATTTACCTAATAGTTCTGCTGCTTATGTATCAATTATTGATAATTATTTCTTGAGCTCCACTTTTCAATGGCCTGTCATCATGTCAAATAACAGTCTTTTATTAAGCATATACTTGGTAACAATTACAAGTCAAAATGGCATTTTTCAAAAAGAGACCGTGTTAGGTTTAGTAAGTTTTTTATTAAACATGTTGAAATAATTCAAGTCTTCATTATTTTTTTTTCTGTTATTTTTTACAAGACAAAAAGCTGTCTTATGAAATATATTGATTTAGTCTTTTTCTGATTTTTATTTCTAATTACAGTAAGTTTAAATTTAATAAATGTTTTTAAAAAAAACGTGTTTTTTAAATAGTGATATATTTAGTCAAAAGGCTATTTGTTACTATTTTTTTTTTTTTAGTTATGTTTAAATATTATGTTAAGTTATTATTAAATATTTTTTTCATAGTTCATTACTTTTACTTTTGTTTTTTTATGTTTGATATTTTTTCTTAGACTTTAAAATGCATTTCACATATTTTTTTCAGTAAAACTAAAATGTAAAATTATAAAAATTGCATAAAATTGTATAATAATAGTTTATAAAATACCTCAATTTTTATTACAAAGTATAACTGTATGGTCATTATATATGTTATATTATAATATATATATATATATATATATATATATATATATATATATATATATATATATATATATATATATATATATATATATATATATATATATATATATATATATGTATATATATATATATATATTATAACAAATATATTACTATATTTTATACTTTTTTATATTGATTTTCTCCTGAAGAAAGCAATAGTTTTTTTACCCAAATTTTTTTTTACATTTTTCGCTTTTTGTCTTTAGTTCTATTTTATTATTTACATTATTAAATTGATACTATATTCGTTTACACTAATGTAGAGAAAATCCAATTGATTAATCATATTATATATTGAGCAGCTTAATGCTCATTTGTGTGTTGTTTGCACAGAACTCACAGCAGTAATTAAACCTGAATAAATGGCAAGTAAGAGTCTATGTATGAGAAATTTATGTAAAATGTGAATATGTAACTTTTGTCAATTGATAACATTATATCATTTTACATTTAATGTAAAAATTCCATTTGTATAGCGTTACATACAAAAGTCTGTACATGTAAATTTCAGTAGGTTAAGTTGAGTAAGTGCAGGCAGTATATGGAACATTCATGTATAATATATGTATAATAATAACTTTTAAAAATATTCTAACAATTATAAGTCTTTTTTGCTTAAACTGTTTTGTTCTGTCTTTAAAATAGCTACGAGTAGAGGAAAAAATTAAAAAATTTTTTTTTGCTTATCCATGGATTTTAACTCATAAAAGGGTTTGTCAGTGCACCACTGAATGTGCAAATAAAAAAATAATTTATAAAGTTATTTTACCAATAATATAGTTGAACACTTTTATACTTTTAAGTGGGTATTTAAATAAAATTATAATGACATAAAAACAAAAAAAATATTTGAAATATTAAAAAAAAATAAAAAAATACTAGTATAAAAGTTTATATTTAACTAAATTAAAATTAAATAGAATTTCATTATTAATTATGTAATTATGCAAATGTAAAAAGGATTTTAAAAATTATTTTACGTTATTTACAAACATCTGTAAGTGTTAACATCAGTACTACTGACTAAACAGATAAACTTAAGAAATTTAAGAATCATATGTATATAAGAAAACTTTCAAAACTTACTTTTTGCTTAAACTGTTTTGTTTTGAATTTTTGTATTTATGTTTTGTTTTTTTTTTAAATTGCCAAGATTAAAAACAAAAAAAAATTATTTTCAAATCCAAGCGGAGAAGCGGAGGGATTTGAACCTTTGATGACCTTGCGGAGGGATTTGAACCTTTGATGACCTTGCGGAGGAATTTGAACCTTTGATGACCTTGCGGAGGGATTTGAACCTTAGATGACCTTGCCACTCTGAGCTTATAATGCTTAAGTTAGAGAAATAAAAAAAAAAAGAATTTTTATAAAAATTTATAACAATATAGTTTATGACATTTTTAAGTAGGTCATCCATTACAGTAAAAGAGGAAATTTTTATACTTTTTAAATATAGCTTTACAAAAGTAACTAGCATTTCATCTCTCATACCTGGGTTGGTTGTTATTACCTCTCACAATGATAAGGTAGAACTATTTGCAACAAAATTTTCTTTTGATTCATTTTTTGAATTTCCAAACTCTCCAATAGTCACATGCTTGACTTAGACATTTACATTCATATAAACTCACCTATATGCCAGGAAACTAGGTTTGAATCCACAGACTGTTCTTTTATTTGCTTTTGTTAAGCATCTCTTCAATCACTTTTCTCTTTGTTCTATATCTCTCTCCTTCATCTTAAGACTGCACTCTTTTCTATTTTATTTTTGATCAAATTGACCAAGCTCTTTGTTTTTATCCTTCAGTCAATATTGTTGTTGTTGTTGGTGACTTGACTGCTCATTGTACTAAATGGCTTGGCTCTAGTATCAGTGACTCTGCAGGTGTTAAGGCCCACAATTCTTGTCTTTCTCAGTCTCTAATACAAATAGCCAACTTTCCAACTCACTTTCCCGACAATCCAAATTATTTACCTTCTCTACTCGACATGTATCTTGTTTATGATCTTAGTCAGTAGTCATTTTCTCCACATTCCTCTTAGGGGCTTCTAATTACAATTTGATCTCTCTAAAACTACCATCTCATTCTTCTTAATCATCATAATCTTCCTATTAAAGTAACTATTACAAAGCTAACTGGAATTTTTTCTGTGATTTTCTTTGTAATGACCTTTGGGCAGAAATCTTTTATATTCTTGCTGACAAATGTGCTTCTAATGTAACTACTTGGATTCAGGCTGGCATGGAATTTTTTATTTCTTATCAAGGATTCCAAGTTAAGCCTTGCTCTTCTCCATGGTTTTCCTCTCATTGTACTGCTGCAATTTCCAATCATAACCATTACTTTTATATCTATCACCAAAACAGTTCTCCAGAAAACAGAGGTCTGTTTACTATTGTTAGAAACCTTAGGTCATGAAATTTTGTATTTCATCTCAAATATTAGGCACCAGAGACTTCTGGGAAATCTTTAACAGTGTCTAAAATAAGAGCAAATTCCAATCTAAATATATTTCCTGCTTAGACTTTTCTACATCTTGTGGTTCGGACAACATACCTGTTACAGTCTTGCAGAAGTTTTCTCCGGTGTTGCTGTTTATACTAAACTATTTAACAAGTGCTTATCAGAGTCTAATTTTCCAGCCTGCTGGGAAGCGGCATCTGTCATCCCTATTTTCAAAAATTTTGGAGAGCAATCTGACTTGTCTAACTACTGTCCCATTAGTCTTTTTACTATCATAAGCAAGGTTTTTGAATTTTTAATTAACAAACTCCTAATCTCTCATCATGAATCTAATAAATTACATACTTGAATCTAATAACTACCTACTCTTTATGGTGCTCCTCACTTTCTTTCTTAGGATTATATTTATCTCTATAAATCTCTAATCTGTTTTTGTATATAATACTGTTTCCATAGCTGGAGCGGATCTTCAAATGACGCCCTTTTAGACAAGGTGCTTAAATGCATTTGAACACAGTTGGACCTGCTCTTGCAGTCAACCTTCAACAATGCCACATCGCTGTAATGTTGCTTCTCTTTCTCTTTACTATAAATGCTATAGTGGTCGCTGCTCTAAAGAGTTGGTGTCTCTTGTGCCATGTACTAAAGTTTACTCTTGTGTTACTTGTCATTCAATTAAGTCTCATCCTTTTACTGTGACTGTTCCTAAGTGCTACAAAAAATCTTTTTTTCTAGTTTTTTTCCTCAAACATCATTTCTTAGGAATTCACTCCCTTGATCTTGTTTTCTTGATTTATATAATTTTCAATCTTTTAAGTTGTTTCTTAATTGTTATCTTGCTTTATAAACTTCATTTTTTCTCTTTCAGTAACTTTCATCTGCAATAGTGGTTGCTTACAGCTTTGTTGGGAGTGAATGTAAAAACCATTAACTTTAATTTTGTAAACTGAATTTGTTTTTTTTTAAAAAATCACAAAAGCACAAATTAATGTATAAAAAATTAAGTAATTAAAAACTAATATCATTTTCTGTTATTTCAATGAAGACCTCAAACAAAATAAAAGTAAGTAAAAAATAACAATTGTAGAGCGGCATTTTTCTTTAGATAGTCAGGTTTACTTTATAATTGCTTTATAATTGAATAGCCAGATTTAGAATCCTCAAATGAATCCTCAATTTAGTTTAAAACAATATATCGATATTGAGCAGCCGTGGCGCAGTGGTTAGAGTTCTGGTTCAGAACCTAGAGGTCCGAGGTTCGACGCCAGCTCTAGCCCAATAAGCGACATTGTACGGAAGGATGCGTGAACTTCCTGTTAAATGCTCTCCCGCGGTGCTCTATGATAAGACCGTAAGGACTTCTGGGAGCACCTAAATACATACAAAAAAAAAAGATATTTTTCAATTTTTTTTTTATTAAAAAATAGTTTTTCAACAAAACAAAAACAAATAAACGCAAAGGTTTGAGGTTTTTTCAAAACACCTTTATTAATATTGTTCAAACAAGTTTAATTGGAATGTTTTTAAAAAAGTTGTTATAAAAATGTTTTTATTTTTATAATAAAAATAAAAATATTCTGGATGTTTTAATTTTTTTTTACTATTTACATACATTGACTGGCAAAGAAGTAAAACATTTAAGGAATGCTGCTACATCAGCTGAAAAATAGGTATAGTATGGATAGAGTGCTGCTATATCATCTGCATCATTGAATAACAAAATAGGTATAATATGGATGGAGTGCTGCATCATTGACTAAAAAATAGGTGTACTATGTGACAAATGCTGCTACATCAATCGTCAAATAGGTAGAACATGCAAGGAGTGCTTTGACTGACTAACAGGTAGAACATGCGAGAATTATTACTACCTGACTCAAGAGTTTTTGTTAGGCAGACAATCTATCCATTAAAAATTTTTTTAATTTGAGTATTTATACATTTTCGAGTCTTCTAAATTAGTTTTTTTCAAAAAAAACATAAAGTTTAGCTTTGCGAGCAAAGCAAACTGAAGATATATATATATCCCTTG